AGGTCCTGGGTGATGGTGGTGCCCAGGAAGCGACATGAGTCCACCATCGTGATGGAAGTGTCAGACAGGTTTAAGGGGGGGATGGGGTGTGTGTGTTTCCTAAAGTCCACAACAACCTCCGCTGTCTTCTGGGTGTTTAGCACCAGGTTGTTTTGGCTGCACCAGGACACCAGCCGTTCAGCCTCCATTCTGTAAGCGGACTCATCCCCATTAGAGATGAGTCCGATGATGGTGGTGTCGTCACCAAACTAGTTTGACAGACTCATGTTTGGAGGTGCAGCTGTTGGTGTACAGGGACGCCCGTTGTCCCCCAATATAAACCCCAATATAAACCCCAATACAGGGGAGATTATACAATATATTGGGATTCTTAAAGCCAGATGATATTAACAATATTTAAGACTAATTTTAACTGGGAAATTTAGGCCAGACGCTTCCAAGCAGTGGCACCCCTAAGGGATGGACGGAGGGGCCATGGCCACCCTTGGAAAATTGCTGGCTTCCCCAGGAAAATCATCTCTTTCAATAAATTATATTCATGTTCACACAAAAATCACAAGTTCACCTTCTTTAATTAAGACATAAATGTAAAGCCCAATATATATTTATAAATAGTATATGTAACAGAGTAAAACATTAATACCGTAAATCCTCTAATATTGGCCTGTATTCAATTAACGGCCGGGTATCATATTTTGGCCGGTGTCGGAGTCGGCAGAGGTGAATAATGGCCGGTATTTTATTGTGGCCGGGTGGAATGTGGTAACAAGCAAGTACCATGGGGGGGGGGGGGGGGGGGGGTTGTGTCATCCGTCTCACTTTTGATTTGCCAGTGACAGACCACGATTTGGCAGGTGCAGAGTCGAAGAGGAGGCGAAAATTTGATATCAAGTTCAAAGAGAATGTGCTGATTATGCTGCAGAACACTGGGGAGCAATAGGGGTTGTATGAACTAGTCGACTTCACTATAGTGACTTTTTATGCCTGGCGTCGACTAGTCACTGTCACGTGATAATGACCGGCAAGATGCAGTCCTCGGAAAAGACAGCAGCCTGCTGTAAGCAGGTGACAAGCTCCTGCGCGTGGGGGGGGCAACGCGCTGTACCAGAGCGTCGGTACTGACACCCGCCGTAAAACGGAAATTTTACCAAATTGTGACCTTTTCCGTCTTGCAATTTAACCTTCCCCTCACCCCCATCCTAACCTTAACCAGCTTGCGCATGCAAAGCTCTGATTGTTGACGCGCTCCAGACATCTGCGTCCTGAGCACGGCCACAGTAACATTATCAAATCAGGTGTCGCCACCTCAAAAACTAATTTAACACGAGACCGTTCATGTCGGCTCATTTCCTTTTATGCTTTCTGTCTTTTATTTGCGCCTGATGCGTTTTGCTGCTGTGGAGCGGGGCGCATCACCTTGTCCTCCGGTGACGCACCTAACTGATGCGGCCGCCAAGCAGCGAGCACCTCGCTGTTTTTGCGGTCGGTAGATCTTTAAGAACTGCAGTTCAAAGGTAACTCATAAGGTGAATATATATGAACCCAGGTAGCAGTTTCTCTTTAGGATTGAGAGGAGATGCAGGAAGATAATAAACAGGCAGGACAGAAAAATAGTCAAATAAAAACAAGTTAGTTTTTGTACCTGTTGGTTGCAACAAACAGACACCATTGAAGGTAATCAGAAGTGAGGAACAGAAAATGAAATAATTATTTTAATGTTTAGAGCAGCAGGAACTCCGAGAGGCTGCAGGCGCATCAGTGAGTTTGCGGCCGCTGTGCAGGGGGAGGGGGGAGAGGGCTGAAGCAGAAACTACCGTTGTTAAAAGAAATGTGTTTAACTTTGAAAATGTGGACACAATTTTAATTGTCAAAAACTCCAGCGAACCATTAGTTCATTTTGCTCAAATAGAAATAGAGGCCTGCCTCTAATACTGGTCCTCCTTTCAATAAAGGCCTGGAGCTTGATGAGCTTGAGTCAAATACAGGCCCGGGCCTGTATTAGAGGATTTACGGTATATTTGGCTGCTCTGGTTTTTTTTTTTTTTCAAAACAAAAGTAGCATTCTTTAAAGTTTTTGTGGATGTTTTCATGAAGCCAGCAACTAGAAAATTAAACGGTTGTAAAATAAAAAACTTTTTGCTGAAATAATGACTCAAATGACTGAAATATCTTTTCTTAAACATTTGTTTTTCAAATTTGAGGTGCATGTGTTGAATGCATTTTGTTTTTAATAAAATTAATGAAGAAGTGTGCAGTGCACAGCCACAGACTGAACTCTCCCAGTTACCCGGAACCACAGGGACAAATTTTGTGTGCCACCCCAAAATTTTCTTGGGCCCACCATGGTAATTTTCTAGGGGCACCACTGCTTCCACGACACACTCAGTGTTATTGTGAGATTTCATTTGTTGCGTCAGAAATAAGGCAATAAAAACTGCTGCCACCTAGCAGTTAGCATGTAAATTCTCAAAAAAAAATAATAATACACTGTTTTTATATATCGATTCAGTACTATAATAACATTAAATTTAGCTATTTTTCAGCATACTGATAATTTCGTACTTTGCTACATGATACAAGAAAGCGCACAGTCTCTTTTCCTCCAGGATGGCAGCAACATGAAATTCTGAGAAAAGCTTTAAGGACATGTTAACTTCTTCTACCACACTAAAATCATAATAATTTACACGAATGAAGAAAGAGAAGCCTAAAACACATAACTGAATCTGCTCTGACCTAAACCGGCACACAGAGGTCCAATCAAAGTGCCCTCACAATGTAGGAATGTTCTTAGATTGCAGGAATGTCGTCACTCCTGAGGCCCCAAACTGAAATTGGTGCTCGTAAACTCATAAAACAGAGATGTCAAATGAAAGCACTTAATCTCACATGCACACAAAAAATTAAAGCTGTGGTTAGCTATTAACCAGAAGAGAGAAAAATAAGTAAATAATAATTAACCATCACTTCACAACATCAGGGGAGGGAGACAACTGAAGAAGGGAGGATGAGGAAAGGAAGTAAGGAGGAAAGGAAGGAAAAGAGAACACAGGAGTGAAGAAAAATCAACAGCGTGAGGTGAAAGGTGTCTTTGACCTGGAGCAGATCAGGCGGATGATTGTTTGAGAACAGAGAGCAGAATGAAAATGTAAAGAAAGACATTTTTAACGACAGAAGTGAAAGGAGTCACCCTGTTGGCTAACTTCAACATGAAGGAAATTGCAGAAACAAAATAGGAGAAAAAATATATAAGGAAAAGTAGTAGGATTGTAAATGTAATGAAATAAAAATGAAAGAAAGAGTAGTTAAATTAGCAGAAAATGAAGAAGAAAACAAAGAAAGAAGGATAAAAAATGAGGGATGTTCCATATTATTGCCTGATATTGGCATTAGAATGTAATATCAGAAATCATCGGGTTGTAGTGTTTAATGACTCAACTAGAAATTATACATCGAACTCTTCAGCTACTTCTCTTCTCACTCAAACTGTCAAAATATGATGAATCGGAGGTTACGTTTTTCAGATATTTATGTTTGTTCAGCACAACTGTCCTAACTTAAATTTAAGTAATTGTCACGTTTTGCACAGATAATGTTTGAAGGTGTGGAACGCTGAAAATTATTATTTTTATTATTATTTCTGATTATAATCAGTCACTCTGAGTTTTCCATTCAGGCTGGACATGAAAATAGTCTCTTACACCTATCTCCTGCATTAGCTTCTGAAACTCTAGGGGTGTTTTTCAATGTTAAGGAACCTTGCCTTGATGTCTTGGTCCCGCCCTGGTTGCCTAGGAGATACATCATCAGGAACCGCCAAGGCCTGTTCCGTTGTTCATGTGCTGCGGAGGCATCTGTCCTATGTTTGTTAGTCGTTTAGCTAACTGACAAAGAATACAAGGGAGGTGTCTTGTTGCCTTCTCTCAGTCAAATATTTCCCAGAATACAGTGCGATATTTTCAGGAGCTGGCAGATACTTCGGGGACAAATTTCATGTTTAAATGTAAGTCAACTAATATAAGCTATTGGGCTGATATCTAAAATGTTTGAAATTTTAATCAGGAGACTTGGTTAGTAGAAGCTAACCATTAGCATTAGCAACTCCTCTACACAGCAGAACTCTTTCTGGCTTGGATTATTTGTGGAGATAAAACATGAACGCTGCAAAGCAAACCGGAGTGGCGCTGCTCTTATCCAATCAGAGGAGAGATATCTTAATATCATTAAATAAGGCTTCAAATCCTGGTGTCTGAACAGCTTTCTCCTCCAGCTGACATGTTCTTCCTGATTCAGGTGCATGTGTTGATTAAACGAGTGTTTAAAGTTTAAGTATGTATGATAGGAGTTATGGGATGTCCATCCATCCATTGTCTGAACCCGCTTTGTCCACGTAGGGTCGCGGGGGGACTGGTGCCTATCTCCAGCGGCCAATGGGCAATCAGGCGGGGTAGCCAGTCCATCGCAGGGCAACACAGAGAAACACAGGACAAACAATCATGCACACACACACACACTCACACCTAAGGACAATTTAGACAGACCAATTAGCCTAACAGTCATGTTTTTGGACTGTGGGAGGAAGCCGGAGAACCCGGAGAACACCCACGCATGCACAGGGAGAACATGCAAACTCCATGCAGGTTGGGAAGCGAACCCAGGACCTTCTTGCTGCAAGGCAACAGCTCTAACCACTGTGTCACTGCGCAGCCCTTATGTGATGTCAGTTATCTAAAATTATTTAGTTTTTGCGTTTTTATTTGGGGGGGGGACTCCACATATATCTGTATTGATTTATTTCAGTATCAGAAATTAAGAGCTAAACTACATCTAAATTGGATATCTGTAAAAAAAATAAAGCTGATATTGAACATATAAAAATAAACATGAAATGAAAAAGAAGTTTTAAGATTTAAGACAACAGCAAAATCAGCTGAAGGATTAGGACACTAACAAAAACAAAGAAAAGGAGGGAACACAAAAAGAATATTACAGCTGCTTACCTCTGCCGTTCTCGCAGATAGTTTTGACCACACGTTTGTAGTCGATTTCCCCCTCCAGTGAGTAGTCGTGCGAGGTGATATTGTGCTTCTGCAGTTGCGTGTACAGCCCCTCCACAGTAAAGTAGCACTTTCTGTCATCATTGGTATCCTTGTTGTCATCATAAAGAAGCACAACTTGCCGATGCCACCCAAACATCTCCTGGATCTTCAAACCAAACTCACCCAGCTTGATGTGTGTGGGGCCTGTGTTGGTGACGGCTGTGTGGATGCTGAAGCCTATTGCAGGAGCCCCAGCGGTCACCATAGGAACATCCCAGTGGGAGGTAAACCGAGCAACTGGTGAGGAAGAGTAGACACAACCAGGCCCAATGAAAGCCCAGGGATCACAGGACATCTTTAGGTCCACGGCGGCCAGCGGCGCCATGGATTCTGAACAGTAGCCCTCGTGGTTCTCTGAGTTGTTGTAGATCAAACGTAGCTTCATACCTGGTAGAAGCCAAGGGTCAGAGTTCACCTTCCGAATGGCCATGTGAAGCGCCGGGCCAACACGAGGCCACGCCCATGGGTATTTAGTGTTAGTGACAGGCAATATGGCTGCCAGATTGATAGTCTGAAAATCGTCTGTGGTGTTGTCCTGCGGCAACCACGACCACGCTGACTGAATTAGGAGGAGCAGGAAGAAGTGGACCCAAGACGGCATGATGACGAAGAGTTTCATAGCCTGACAGACGTTCTGCAGAAAAAAGATACATCTGTCAAACAATCAACAGGGAAAAACTCCTCATAAATTTAACATTCGGTCATTAACATTCCTGTAGATGAAACTACAAAACTATCCTGTCTAAAGGTGTGTCTTGATGACAGAAGAGTATTTTAGACACATGATCATTAAATAGATTAAACGGTTTTAGTTAATTGACTCTGTCGTCTATATATGGATTTGTTTATGTGCATTGATGGTCTGGAGGCACAGGAAAGAGGTTTATGTCAACACATGCTGAGATTTGGTAGTTAGAATCTAATTTAGCTAAATCTGACTAAAACTTAACTTGCACAAAACAACTATCCCATTTCAGTGTGTTTCCTTGGAGACTAAAAGTGATTATCAAAGGTTGGGCTGCAGATTTTGCAGGTCCAAGAAGGAAGCCATTGATTCCCCTTTTCGGCAACATTCTCCACCCTTGCCTAAAGTGGGCGAGGGCGCAAAATTTCGGGACTAGAAAGAAAACCTAAATTATGAAATGACTAAATTGCTTCATACTTGATATCCAATCTTTTATTTTGGTAAAACTGTGTTTTTAATGTTCTGTTGATAAATAAACTGTTTAATTTGATGGAAAACTCTGTTGTCTGCCTAAAACTGAAACATCTTCCGCTTTAAAACAACTTATAAATCGGATGAAACCATATGTGCTTTTGATATTCTGTCAGAATGAAATGACTGAGATTTTTCCTGAATTAATTCAACCTTTTAGAAATAATGTATTCCCTTTGAGGATCTGGTAGAGCATGATGGAACACAGCCAGAGTTTCCATGTGGGACCCATAAACTGTTACCCATTAGCTCCATGTGGGCTGCGTGTGTTTGAGGGCCCACAGATATGGAAGTAATGTCCACAACTGAGCTGTGAGCAGATAATTGCTGGTTAAACACTGGTCCGACTGTGTTTACCATTTGAGTAATGAGTAAACGTTTCCAACAAACCGAGATGCGCGAGGATGATGAAGATCTAATGTGCTGCTCTGTGAATCAGTGAACCAGACAGACAGAGCCCTTTCAATAAAACAGTGTAGTGAAGATTAAAAGAGATAAAGTGATCAGACGCTGAGGATTAAAGATGCATGGAAAAAACAAATTAAGTAGCAATCTGGAGTTTTCCCCCTTTTAGAAATCATGTGTTTTTTAACAAATTTATAAAAGTGATATTTCTAACCCTGTACTGTGATAAAATAGAGGAAATACGCCAATTTTTCCAGCTAAGCCTTCATCTGACTATAGAGTGCCACTTGACAATCGCATTAGACATTTGCTTACATACAGATGTTAATCCCTAAACAACATAACATGACAATAACAATTGTAAAACAATGTAATGTGTTTTAGCTCTGTTGCGCATTCATGAATGGGAAGCTTAAAGCCGGTGGTAACAGCCTCATAATTTTTACCTTGAGAGGCACTATATAAAAAAAAATACATTCTTCTTCTTCTTCTAATCACACAAGTAGGGAGAGGGCCTTATGGTACAATGCATTTTCCCATCACTAGTTGGTGCCCACTGAGAAAAAAACTCCAGGTTTCTGCTTTAAATGTTGAACAGTTGTATCTCAGAGTCATTGAGGACGATTGTGCCATTTAAAGGTGAATTATGTAACAGTGAAGTTAGCTGTCAAATTTGGTTAAGCCGGGCGTACACTGTGCGACTTTTTCACTCGCAGCGTTCAGCTTCAGCTCAAACTGTATGACTTCCTTGCAGAGCAGATCTCACGAGTCATGTGCTCACACTGTACGACCCAGTTCTCGGATGCGACCTGACTGCTCACACTGTACGTCTGGTAGCAACACGTCGGCCCTAAAAATATGCTAAAAATAGCAGTTTTTACTCAACACGTCAGACTTTTTTGTTTTGTTTTGCCTGGTGTCCTTCGGGAGTGCTGCAGGAGGACACACAGGGATTTATGGGGGTTGGATGAGGAAAACGAAATAAAGAAAGTAAATCTGTGTTTTGTGATCAGTTTAATTTGACATGAACACGACAAACACGCTTTCTTGACAATCTTTGTGAGTAAAAAAACGTGTAGAAACAAAAACGAACAACGTGTGTTATTAGGGAAATAGCGAGCGAGCGGCGTTGATGCAGGATTGCGCATGCGCCGTGAGCGGTTCTGATACTTTTTGGGTCGCAGCTGCTCGCAGCGCCGCTTCAACAGTGCGATACCCTCACGAGGGACGAGCGAAATATTAAACACGCCAGAAGTCCGTGCGACCTCACGACTGCCGATCGGTAGCTGGTCACGTGGTGTTAATCGCCTCTCGTAACCCCCTGTACACTACACGACCGCTCGGCGCAAAACTCGCCCCGATGTCGTGGATTCTCGCACGACTGGAAAATCGGCTCAAAAAAGTGAAAAAGTCGCACAGTGTACGCCCGGCTTTACTGCAGACAATTTTCAAAGTGACTTTCTCATGACCATTCCGTGAGATTCGTGGCTGTTGCCAGCTTCAGTTGAAGGAAGAGTCTAGATGATGAGCAAAGATGAATCATACACAATAAGTTGCCAAGTATATAAATAATATCACAATATCAAATTGTTGGTAATTGAAAAAGATACTTTTAGAGCTGGCAATTTGCTTCTAATTCCCCGTTAGCTCAACGTTAGCTTCTAGTCTTCATGACCTGATATTAGAATAAAACAAAAGGGTGCTGTAGCTTCTCAGGGGTACAAGAAGTGACTTCTAGGTCACTCCTGTTACTGACTTAAGCCTGATTTATACTTCTCCATCTGCGTCGGTGTGGAGACATGCAACGTCATTATGCGTCTGTGCAAGGGCTCTCCGACAGGCTCACAGAGGGTGACGGAGATCTGCCCAAATTTTTAAACATCAGTCGAAAGTGACAGTTTGTGATTGGTCAGGACGCCGCTTCCTGTATATTCGTCACCAGCACCGCTGTAGCTCCGTTAAAAAGTAAACAGATATTTAGCGGCAGACCCCGAACAGACTGAAGAACGCATCGTGGAAAAAGTCCAAAAATATGAACAATTATTCATTCGTGAGCAAATGAGTACAAAATACAGGGAAAACATGGATGGAAACAAAAGAAAACATGGGCTTAGAGGTGGCGACCGCATGAAGAGGTGAATGAGAATGAAGGATAAATTTGTCCGTGTTATACAGTCTCTGAAATATATAAACACATTAGTAAATACACTATCGGGGAACGGATACATGAATGTTATGGTGGCAGGATACCACAGAAAAATGCTACGCCCTCTGTTGTCCTGGCGGGGAATTACTTTGCAACACTCCGCTGCCTGAGCAGAAGTTCGAATGTGAAAACCTTTCCAACACTCTGTGTGCGTCTCTCCGTTGCAGCGCTCACTGTGACGTGTAAATAAGGCTTTAGGATCTTGACTGAACACTGCGTTTGCAGGCTGGCGTCAGAGCTGCAGTGCCAACTCGGTGCAGATTTGGCAACCCCATGGGCTCACAGACTGGAAATAGTCTTTACCTTTTTTGAAAGGAGAAAAATCTGACAAATCCCCTGCAGAATGAGAAGGAAATCTGCTTCAGTATAACCTTCCTTCCAACATCGAGACATTAGACTGTTTTGTAAAATCTATGCATATTGTACCTTTAAGACCTGCAGATATTCAGAAAAAAAGCTAAAATCATGCTGCAATCACATGCATTGTGCACATCAATGACCTTTACTGTTAAAATTGCTCCAAAACTTCATTATAGGCTTCTCTTCCCTCATGGAGCTGATGAATTTACAGAAAAAAAACCCACAACAAATTACATTATTATCCTATGATGGCAAAGCTTTAGCAAATGTTTTATTTATTAATTTCTTCCTCTGAGAACTGAATTAATGTATAATATACACTCCACACTACTACGTGTGTGTGTTATACAGTAAGTGTGTATGTTGTGATCGTGTGCCATTGTTCTCCTAGCCTTCAGTCTTATATAAGTCTTCCGAAACAGCAGCCGAGACTGGAACAGTGGCAGCAGATCAAACACAAACAGATGATCAGTTTTTAGGATTGAACCTCTGGAACCTTCACTTTAGTTTAAAAAAATATTAAACAGTTGCATCAACTTCCACTTGTTTAAATATAAATTAACCAATTTTTACTAAAGAATGTAAGATTTTGCATTTTTTTAATTAGCAAGAATTTGTATATAATCTATAACAAAGGCATTAATCTCAATAATCCAATATAGCCTACTATTGATGATATTTTCTTATTTTTATATCAAATTAAAATTTCCATGCAAATAATTTTTTTCTTTTAGAAAATAGAAATAGATTATTTTAATGTAACATAGAATTAAATCATAAAATTAGCTATACTTTATTAGCTATATTTTTTTTACATTTTACAAAAATGCTTTCAGTTAGTGTTAAACGTGTTATTTGTCCAGCGCCTGGCACATTTAATAACTGTGGTTTGTTTAATGTTATTGTTTCCTGATTGTTTTATCAGATAAAATAAAAATAAACGGTTGAACTAACTTCTATCTCTTACATCTAACATTCACAGTAAAAATAAACAGCTCATTCCTCATTAACAGATTTTAATTGGATTTATTGATCATAAAAAGACCACTAGAACAATTTAGTTGGGCACGTGCTTCTTCTAAATGACAGAAACGGTAAACTATATTCAGTCATTACGTTTCCTTTACCGGGGTCCGCTCTGATCCCCCGGTACCGTGGGTCTCTACGGATTTGAACTTAAGAAAACAGTCGGTTCTTTACCTGTTGGGAGTCCCCAAACCGTCTCTTCTCAGAGCTTCATGGTTTAATTTTCTCTCCAGCAGGCAGAACGAGATGTTTCCTCACAAATGAGAAGCTCCGTTACAGCGGAGAGCCACCGGAGGACCGAACCCCGCTGCAGCCGGCAGCTTTCCGGGTTGCCGTGGTCAGAAAAAAGTCCTAATGTTCCACCTTCCCTGCGGCCGCGCGCTCCCGTGCACACATTTTTGAGAGGGGGCACAGGGGGGGGCGAGGGCAGTCATGATAAGGCTGAGTGCGCGTGTTATTTAAATAGGAAATATTTAATTTTATTCCAATCGCCAAACCTTAGTCACATAGTGTGTGTGTGTGTGTGTGTGTGTGTGTGTGTGTGTGTGTGTGTGTGTGTGTGTGTGTGTGTGTGTGTGTGTGTGAAAGAGAGAGACTTTATCCACCCGGAACCCCACGTTGTTCTGGAGCCCCCTGCTGCTTGCCTGCTCTCCCCAATCACGTACATTTCCTGTGAATCACAGCCAGCTGACAGATGTTGAACATCTGTAAACAAAACATTTGCAGAGATGAAAACAAACTTAATCAGCAGAGAGTGGATTTAACTGATGTAAGGGTTTATTGTTACACATATAAATGTGTTTTTTTTCCTTGACTGTGTGTGAAGTGAAAAGATCAAAAGTGAAATGAATAAAAACAAACATCCTAAAATAAAAGTCCTTTACCATCAAGAAGGGAAAAAACCAATACATATACATGAAAGCTGCATATTAGAAAACATATGCATACTCTGAATTAATTTCACTCCTTTCACATGATACAACATAACAATCATCTTTAAAGTAAACGAGTATAGAAATGAGTAGAGGTTCTGCATATAAAATTGATGTAAAATTTGGCATATAGCATCATAATTAACCTAATTTGATATAAAATGCAATCAGGTGTGTCGCTATGTCGCTTTTAGCACAGAACTAAATCATGTGTGAACAATTTAAGAGTAAAAAACATTCATCAAGATTACATTCCTGTTCTATTAATGTTTAAAGGTTTAATAAGTTTGGATTAATCGTTGACCGTCATTTACTTTTAGTGCACTGTTGATCGGCAGCTCTGATGGAGGTTGTTGTAAAATGTTTGTTTTTCCTAAAGAAGTGCAACAGTAAAGTTTATCGACAGCAGAAACACACAAACTGTGGTGTCAACAAAAACTGTGACAAAGCTGTGTGTTGTTGATGCTATGTACAACACACACACACACACACACGACCCTCTGGGTGAGTGGGTCTTTGAACAGGATACACCCGGTGGACCAGGAAGCCACTTAGTGACACACACACAAACTCTCCCTCT